ACTGGAGCCGAAATTCAGTCAAGGATGGTGGGAACGACTGCATGAGCACCATCCCATATGACAGTAGCTGGGTAACTAAAGAGCAGCGTCTTCAGGTTGTCTATTTATGTGCCCGACCAGTAATTTTCATCTATATTGAATGTTAAAGAACTCTCCCACCCCTAACCCTTTCACGAACTGTCGTCAAGGCATAAATCAAGGTACAGAGACGATTTTGGTACCGTTGGATAGGTCAGAATGTCAGCTTTGAAGTGAGACTTAAAACCGAAAAAGTGAATTTTACGATTTTTATCCCAGAAATTCAGGACGTAAAGGGATATAAAGGAGAGCATGTGCAAATTAGCAGGTCTAAGAATCTACACAACAATTAAATCAGGGTACAGAACGATAACAGACGAGTTGAGCGAACACTAATTACACCAATTTGAAGCAAGTATAACCGTGTCCACGACTCACTGCAGATAACTTGCAGGGCCCCTTAGGAGGTTCTAACCCACAGAGCTACAGTGCTACACCTCGGCTGCACTGCTCTTCATTTAGTTATGGAAACAATCAAAACCTGGCAACTGAAATTCAACAGGCACAATTTCCCCCCGTGATTTTTAGAAAGTGTCTCTGTAATCAAAAAATGTCTATGCACTCGTTAACGATCACAGTTAACAGTTCACTTTTTTTATTCAAAACGGAATTTGAATCTGTCTAGTTTAATTCGCAGTAAGGCGGTCGCAGTAATTAATAAGTTCGTCCCTAGCACATAAACTTAATTTCACTCCACCTATTGTATTTGTTCTCAAGAAATGTTTTATTTTTTCCGTAGGCCGTCGCAGTAATTAATAAGTTCGTCCCTATCATATATGCATAATTTCACTCTACCTATTGCATTTGTTCTTAAAAAATGCTTTATATTTTGCGCAGGCGGTCGCAGAGCGTTCAGCGAGTTCCTGAAGTGCGAGTACTCGGAAGAGAACACCCTCTTCTGGCAGGCGTGTGAGGACCTCAAACTGGAGACCAACCCTGCCGTCGTCGAAGAGAAGGCCCGCCTCATAAGTGAGGATTATATTAGTATATTTTCACCTAATTTGAGTTCGTGTAAAAACATTTTAAAACTTTTTAAAAATGAACCCAAAGGACAGCCTTCATTACATTCACCAGATTCTTGAAGAACTCCCGCTCTTTTGAAGGGGCCGTTGCTGCGAATACTTCGGGTTTGACGTTGTTGCCAAGGATGTGATCATGTCATGCACGGAGCCTACCAACTACCGAATTTCCTAAACTTTGAAATTGTACCGGAGTCATTTTCACGGTGCTAAATTTTGTGTTGGATCTTATTTACATGTATCGTACTTATTTCCGCCAAAATTTCTGTATTCACGGCTTCATATAACTTGAAAATGAATGTTGTTACATTCGAAAAGTTGTAACTAAACTAAAATTACTTTCTTTAACCTGCATTTTGATCAACCAACATCATCTGAAGAATTGTTCGACCAGGAAAATGTAAATCAATAAATTGTCTGGCCATTAACTTGACGCTCATCATTTTACTTACAACACATGACGCTCAACATGGCTTACAACACATGACGCACAACATGGCTTACAACACATGACTATGAACGCGTTCAAGAACAGACTAGATAAAGCTATGGAAAAATATATGTTCAGATTTGAAATGCCTAGCTCCTTATCGAACCCGGTTGAAGTCTAGCAGCTACTTCAAACTATCGCCAGTCATGAAAAGATCCGGGCAAATAACACGATATTAGATCTTCTGTGAACAAGGCACGAAAAGGAAAAGAATTGGCGACAGGCCACATCAGGCCTACACTTCAGCGCCGACATCACTATGTTATGTTTGAAGTTTTTCGGCGCTGCCGCTTGGCCACGTTCTGGGTGTTGGGAAATGCAGACAACGTAAACTCGTGTCGGGAACGTTCAGAATGTTGGAAGTTAAGACTACTTAAATCTAATGCATGGCGGTCACGTTCGGAATGTTGAGAACTAAAGACACATTAATCAAATGCATATGGCGGTCACGTTCGGAATGTTTGGAACTAAAGACACATTAATCCAATGCGTGGCGGTCACGTTCAGAATGTTGGGAACCAAAGACACATTAATCCAATGCGTGGCGATCACGTTCGTAATGTTGAGAGCTAAAGACAAATGAATCCAGTGCATGGCGGTAGCGTTCAAAAAGTTAGGAACTAAAGACATCTCGGTCCAACACTTGCTGCATCCTACTTCGTTTTTAGCCAGCGTATTTGCTGTACAGAATGTATTAATAATAATAATATTAACAGCGGTTTCAGCTTTTAGTAGGCCGTAGGCCTGTCGCCGAATCTTAACATCGCAGCACATTCACAGCATTTTGCGGTCTCGAACTCGCAACACACTGCTACAATTCTGCCGCGCTTAACCGCCCGGCCTCCTCACCGATTCTGACCACAGGGCTCCCAGCCAACAATTTGAGAAAAACTTAGATGGTTGCTGAAAAACACCCAGATTCTGCAGATTTCGTGGAAAAAAACCCAGAAGACAAATTTCATCAAAAACCTTGTAATTTTACTTACTTCTGATGGAATTATAAGTATTCGCCTGCTAAATTGATGTTCTCTCTGTTTTTTTTTTATGACGCTGTTCATATCATATCATATGGAAGCAGGTTCCATCTACAACGTCTTTCACCAACTCTTGTTTCGGCTTCCATGTGTAGCAATTCTGTTGCTTCCTCGAAAGAAACTGCCATGCTAATAATCTTTCTGTCACTGTCTCAGTTTTAAGCGAGTTTGTTTGCTTCGTTTTAACGTGGTTAACGAGCGAAAAAATCCTTTCGACACAAGCGGATGAGTGAGGCAATATAGTTAGATTTATCATAAAACTAGAATGAGTTCCATACTTTGGTTGATTCATCCCGTCTTTAATGTTACACAGTGAATGCCAGAAGCCAAGGACTGAAGTGTAGTTTAAAGATACATCGCTAAACTGCCGAAAGAGCCTTCATTCATCGTCGAGTTTGTCAATAACATCCTCAGGAACAAGATGGGGAAAATTCTGTGCTACGTTCACTATGGAACTGGGAGATTTGGTAATATCTCTTGAGGCAGCGGGATCTAATATATGTAAATTTGCAACAATGCCATCTTCTAACGGGAATTTTTTTTTATTTGTAAGCACAACTCATTGAACTTAACTAAGAATTTCAAACAATCCGTTTTAAATCTATAACGTGATTTTCCCCGATTGGAAGCAGGTATAACTCTCTCATGCAACCTCCACCCAAATATAAATCGTTAACATGCTCATGTAATGATTTATTACTGGGATCAATATCTGAAGCTCTTGTGGATTGAATTGCCTCTTCTCTGATGAATTAACTCAAAATGTCATTTTATTCAGAATACACCATAGAATATAACGCATGAAGGTTAAATTTTCTGATTGAAACTCAATGTTCAAAACGATCAATGTTCAAACTTCAAAGGTACAAAAGCAACAGTAAGCTCAACGTAACGCACGACACAACTATAACTTGTCACTTGTCAATAGCGATTATAGCGAGCGCGGTACTGTGCAGTGTGCGCCGAGAAGTTGGGAACCGTTGCTTTGACTGGTAATGAACGCGTTCAATACTGGTAATAAACGCATACAATACCAGTACCATCTCTCAGCTAGGGAAAATATACAGTCTGACGGTTAGATCGTTGCTCCATTCATTATGTATTGACTGCATAAGGCATCAATTTAAGGCATTGAGAATAATTCAATTATATTATTGGCTAAAATTAACTTCCTTAACGAAAAAACCCAGATTTTGCCATTTAAAAGAAAAATCCACCCAGACACCCAGGTAACGGCCAAAAAAACCAGATCTGGGTGGAAAAACCCAGCGCTGTGAGCTCTCAGCCCTGTGACCAGAAAGAGGCGCGCAGTGCTGGAATCGAACCCGCGTCAATTATGGTACTCTGAACTGTAACCACTGCATAGCCACCCAATACACTCAAGAGTGTATTGGCAAGGATATTTCACGAATTTTAAAAAAATACAATGTCTATAGCAGGAAAGGGGATAGTACAGACTTCATGAACGCAACAGACGTGCACGTACGTCCGTTTAAAGATAGTAACGTTTGTTTCCTGAAAACTAAGGAACGTAGGTGCGAACCTCGAACATCCTTTTTTTTATTCTGTTGACAGAAGGTGAAATAGGACCTCAAGGTCTCGTTGTAGTACTTATCTAGAAAATTCTTTAACTACAGAGGTCTAACAGGTACTGACAGTTATAGGTTTCATTCAGAACATAACAAACACTGGCCACTAAATAGTTTCACTAAATAATTTCATTGTTTTTCTTTTGACTTGCCACTCATTTTTGTTATGTAAAAAAATTATTCGAAGCAATATAAAGGTGACAGAAAATATGCATGAAGCAATAATTGTAAGCTAGATTTATACAAGAAGTGCAGTAAAATAACATTATCCTGACATTATACCTACTGACATTATACCTAATAACATTACTGACATTATACGAGTATACAATGTGCAAGGCTATACGCTAGATACAAATTTTCTATCAAGGTTAGCCCATAATTAGTCAAACCTAGCCCGGAAATAGCTAAGATGGCAATAGTGAATTCATCACGTGTACATTTTACAGCCGTGGCAACGACAGTTAGTACGTTACGGCCCAGGGATTAACATTATACAGAGCACAATGATTCAGAAAAACGAACATTTAGCTTATTCGGCCTAAGAATGTTCATGGAATCTCCAGTGACTGTGCGACGCTCGAACCATTGGCGGAATAATCAAGGAAAAAGTTCATGTTTCGCCGACCATGGTTGTCACGACTCTACTGCAAAAGAGGTAGAGTAATGGTGTGGAACTTTCATAATGAAATGAACTTATGAGACATCCAGTCGTCGAGAACCAGAAGGATGAAAATAATTAATCATACAAGTGCGTAGGCGGCTGCTTACATTTGGATCCCACTGCACCTGGACCAATAACTCAAAGGCCTATAAAATCAGAGCCACACGCAAACAACGTAACAGTGCACCAAGAGCCGTTGAACTGCCCGCAGACCCTGTCGTTTCCCAGCAGTGCCAGCACCAAGAGCCTTTGAACTGCCCGCAGACCCTGTCGTTTCCCAGCATTGCTAGCACCAAGAGCCTTTGAACAGCCCGCAGACCCTGTCGTCCAGTCCCTGATCACAGCTCCAAGATGCCGCGAGGTCTCGTGCTTCTCATCGTCGTCGCGGCGGCAGCGTCGACGCAGGCGTAAGTAACACGTTTTCAGAGGCCTTGAGTGATTTGCGGTAACACTAACCAAGCGGAAAGATGGTCAAGTTTTTTTGCGAGGATTTTTCGTATTAAATGTCACTGATATTTATTTCAAGGTTTAAGTGAGTTGCATACTTGCAACTCACTGCTTCAGTTTTGGTATTCTGAACTGTAATCACTTGGTAACCCTAAGTGAGCTCTTCTTTGCTAATCATGACAGATTTGAAGAACATTGCCCTCCTGCAGGTGTATGACAACAAATTTTGTTTACTTCATTTATGATTAGCATTTAGGGGAATCTTATTCAGTTGAATAATATATTTCGTGAACCGCTTTACGATTTGGTCTCGCTGAGAGCCCGTCAAGTCATGAGCTGGAGGCCCGACGACCTGCCAGTCCATATAAGTTTATTCCTTATCATATTTTATTATTACATTCCTACTCAGCTTCAATTGTTGTATAGAGCTAGGAGGAGACTTAACATCTGCATGCATCCAATCGCGGAGAGAAATGTTCGTGCATCGTAGTGCGGCAGTGAGATTTTCAGGTCGCGGAGGTCAACAGAAAAACTTTTCGGAAACGGTGATTGCAGCCAAGCTTGTGCTTCTCTCCAGACCAAAATTCTGGAGCTTTCTTCGCCCTGCAACATTTTATTGATCAATTGATCAGATCAGTTTTTTTCACATTCGAAGCAAAACCTTAATTTGATTTTTGATGTTGCCCAACTATCCCATTAACGTGAAAGCATTTACTTGGGAAAATTTAATTTCCCAGTAACGCATCTTAATTCGGATTTGATGAAGCAGAAAACGTAACTGTAGAGATAATAGAATATGATTCATTATGTAAGTAGCGTACCTATTTAATTTGTGGTTTAATTCCAGCGCTTATTCGGATTGCTTTTTGACGTTGAACTATGCCCGCGATGCTGTGTCTGCAACGGCGTGGTCTGCTTGCTCGCCCCAGTACACTGTGGATCTTGGGATATTTACGAAAAGTAAGTGTCAATATAATTAACAAGAACTATTTTACTCCCACTATAAACCATCGTTATTGTCAAAAAACTTCTCATCAAGCACTAAAATATTTAGATTTCGATGTGTAGATACGCTATAGTTTACGAATCAAACATGCATTCTGCTCATTGACAGTGCAGGGAAAGAACTTTTCTTTCAATAATGCGTATTTCTTTTTCAACGATTCTGGTTGAGTTACCGAACATTAACTAACCAATAGAATCCCTGCATTGTTTCACTCCTATACGTTGTTTCGCAATAAGATGCCACCAACACACCATAAACGACAGCTTCTTTCCTCCTCAGTGGACTGCAATCTGTACGCTAAATCGTACAACGCGCCTAAATGTGATCCAGTTATTGCCAACTACATGAAGTGCGCGGTGAAAGCAGTCGGACTTGTGAGTAAAGCACAATACTGAGCATCGAGTACAGAACTTGTTATTATGACTGTACCATGAGCACCGAGTACAGGACTTGTGTGTGTGTGTGTGACTGTACATTGGGTATCGATTGCAGGACTTGTGAGTATGACTGTACAATGGACATTGAGTATGGAGTGCAGGACTTGTAGGTGTGACTGTACATTGGGCGCCGAGTTCACGACTGGACATAACAGCTCAAAAATTCTGGTCTCATACTCGCAACACACACACTCAGCAGTATTTATGCCTGGTGTGTAGGGCCAATTTTTTCAGGGTTTAATGTCAGTCACATACTTTTGGGCGTTACCACTGGTGGAGCACAGACCTGGTAAGAGTGTCGAGACAGCGGGAAGACATTTTCCAATTCGGTATTGCTTCTATATTAAAAAATGTCTCCATACGTCATCGTCAACGATGCTCCTACATTCCTACGCAACAGCTCAAACGAAACGTGTGAGATTGGATCAGCTTGAGATACCTTTCCGATCTTATTTAATGCTAAAGAAATTTTTACACTGAGCAAAAAAATTAGAATAAAACCAAACTGCAGTTACCATATATCCTTCTTATCTCCACCTCCCGTTCTGCAGCTGAAGGCAGACAACACGTTCGACGACGCGGCCTTCAAAGCCACCACATTGCAGAACAAATGCAGCGCTGACGCAAAGTTCATAGCCGCCTACCCGAAATGCATGAACTACACCATGAAATATATGAACGTAAGTAAAAGCATGTGCTTATCTATTGATTTAGAAAGAAATGCTACATTTTCCACATTTATTGCTCATATTAAAGTAACAAGAAAAAATGAGCAACTGTTGCGTATTGTTCGAATGAAAGGAAAAACCTCTTTCTTAGAAATTCAATGATGACAGACCCTGCAGCAAACAGAAGAGATCACAGAATGCCCGTAAATGTTCATCTCTGAAGCCTCATGTTTCATGTTCCAGGTCGGCCGACTAATCGCCTGTCTCGTGAGTGCTGTATATTGACGAGTGATATCACGGAAGAACATGAACGGCTGATGTCATGGAAGTACATAGAAATGAGCCAGAAGAAGACGAACTGAGCATCAGAAAACTTTTCTTCTTGCGTAACCTATTCATTTCCGCTTAGATGGATTGCTGACGAGAATATTGTAATTGTTGCAATTATTAATTCGGGACTTCTTCGGTTATGTTTGTGGCTGCGTGTTTAGTCTTTGGTTTACGGATTTTTAACAATCGAGTTTCACCCTCTCTTCCCCATAAAATAAAGATTCGGGAAAAGATTGGTAGGAAACATTTACTATACCCAAATTAAGGTACATTTATCCCTCTGCATACATTGTTACCGAGTTTTGCTGCCACGCGCAGTTTCTGGGATATAATCATATGTATAAGCTACATCTATATAATAAGAATAGAATAAATGATTTGAATGTTCATGTTGTTATTTGGCCAGTAATACTGGGCGAACGAGAGCCTTTATATACTATCCGCAATAACCCAGCTAAGGATCGTTACACCTCTTGCACTTCAATACAGTCACCGACAGAATACGGACGATCAAATACGAAACTTTCTTTCTACGACGATAGGATAAACAGTGTTTGTGAGTTGAAGTGAGGTCAAGACTTCGGATCTAGACTTCCTAGGTCTCTCTGTACGAGATAAAACTATTACAGACACTAAACGTACACAACGGTGCATGCCTAAAACTATATAACAAATAGTAAAAAGACCTTTACGCATCATATAGCTATACAGGTCTGATATATTACAGGTCACAATAAAGCACAATAATATTGGTCCTATATTAAAAATATCAATGATTCCGTGCACATGCAGTACAACCTGTTCCCGTATGGGAATTTTCACTATTCCCTTTGCCACGTTCTATTGAATGATCCCTGACACATGAGCTGCTTTCAATTACAACTCGGACTTTGTTCTTATTGAACAATTTTGTATCACAAATAAGCTTTAGTTAACTTGGAACCTGCAACACCTAATGAGTATCCCTCCTGATCTTTTGGTTCCCTCCTGATCGTTGTGCTGGTAGGTCGTGTACCGCCTGCGTGACATTTAATGCCACGGGCCTGATTTTACGTCGGTTTTTGAGTTTTGAGCTGAGAGTGCTATTCTCAAATCTGAGCTCGCGTGTTATGAATCCAGTGAAGTGATCGTGGTAGATCAGGGAACTCATTAAGCCACTAGAAGTGTGGAAGTCAGTTGAAAGTGTTCAGGCCAGGCTAGTACTTTCAAATTTCGTAAATATAGTAATGTAAAAAAATCGGATTTAGTTAGATCAAATCTAACTTAGCAATCAAACATTCAAGTTGAAAATCAAGATAACCATTCTGCGATGAAGAAGTGAATCAATGATAGCTAAGTGTGCTATACACATGTAATTAGATACTTAAAGAAAAATACTGTGAATGCATTTGTGACTCAGGAGGGTGTCAAGCGTGCAGGAAGTGTGCAGATTTTAAGTGTGAACTAGATTTTAAAACTTCTGTCCGGTCGCCAGACCGCCGTCAACCGCGGCCAAAATTCCTAACCCTGGAACCCAACGAGAATAGATAGTGTAGCTACGACAAGACTACCGATAAAATAGTAAAACCCTTCTAACTAACTATTCATTGAAATAGTGAATCTTGAAAAACAGAATTAGAATTAGAAAAAATCCGGCATTATGGCAAACTAAGTTGTGATTGAGCCCACTAAGGGTAGTTCATGTGCAATCTGGCGCAAGTCTTGCAAAGCACCATTAGCCGTACAATGCATCAAATGTCGTTTGTTCATACACCTTCAGTGTACAGAGCTTCAGCTTTACGTTCTCGTGAGACTTGACCATAGCAGTGTTTCATATGAATGCGAAAACTGCGTTATGAAAGAATGCGGAGATAAATACGATATGACTAAAACAAAGCTTCAGTCAGCCATGAATGTTCGGCAAAGACTTATCCAGTACGGCCTCCTCCATTCCCCCCGCCAGCCTTATCCCCTCCCCCTCCTATTCCCCCTCCCATGCCTCCTCCCCACTCCCAACCTTACCCCTGCTCTGAGCCCCACCCCTACCCCCGCTCCCACACTCGCCCAAGTACTAGCCCTTAATATATAGGTCTATATATATATAAATAAATCTATATATATAAAAATCTCTATATATATATTTATATATATTAAGCCTTCATGAACAAACATGAATCCCATACATCCCATACATGAATAGCGCATGCCTCTAAAAAACTTCCCACTGATTAGAGTCCTAAAACATACCCACCCATTTTGAAGTTACCGGAATATTACTTGGTCCCCTAACTTGCTTCACTGTCATTCAGGACCAATCACACTGGCATGAAATTAAATGAGTGACCACCAGATGTCTCCTTTATATTAAAGTCCATTAAAAGGAATAAGGGTTATTTGCATGAGGGTATTTTACTATTTTTTAAATATTAGGTTTTCAAGATCATGTGAGTTTTCTAATTTAATTATGCATAATTTAGCTTCCTAGTTAATAAACAACTAGCAATGCAATCTCGTTAATTTTTGAGCACATACAATAGCATAGCAGAAGCCTAAAGGATTGGTATAAATTCCAAAGTGCTTAGTCCGATTATTCAATAATTATGCGGAAGAAACTGAATTTTTTTAGAAGCTTGCACTATTTGAGTTTCGAGAAACAAAAACACATCAAAGAACTGGGTTGATGTTTTAATACATATTTCCCCATTAATTTGTAGTTTTCGACAGATTTGTCAATGTTTTATAAATGTGTCGGATCTGCCTTCTAGAAGGCGACTGCGTTCCTCGTCGAAGGCTGACCTCGTCGTCCCGTCCTCACGTCTGTCCACAGTCGGCGACAGAGCGTTCCCGGTCGCTGCGGCCAGAACATGGAATGGTCTGCCAGCATCGGTGACATCTGCTTCTTCGCTGCCGTTGTTTCGTCGACGCCTAAAAACAGAACTTTTCCGTAGAGCCTTTGAATCTTAGACCTAGCCGTCATCTAATCTATCATGTATATTACTGGTTTAGCATAGGTGTTGTTTGTTCTAGCATAGACGTCGTCAGTCTTGGCATATGTCCTTTGTTTTAGCATAGTTCGAACGAGAAAAGGAAGTCGAAGTCCCTCGAAGTTCGATCCGAACGAGACGCCACGACAATCTCTTCGTGGAATAATAATAATAATAATAATATATAATTTTATTGATGCATCATCAAATAACTCACTTTAAAAAATGGGCAATTATTGGATTAAAAAATTTAACTCAGTACTCACTGCAGTGAGTGACAGAGAGCGCGTTTTCTCAAAATCGACGAAAACGTGAAGTCACGGACAGACGCATGGACAGACAGACGGAAAGTCAGTCAGACGGACATGAACACAATAGGTCACTTTTTACATAAATGAGAAAATGCGCTAGAAATATGACAGATGTAATAATAGAAGTTGATACCTTATATAACTCTATAGCAACAAATTTTCAACTATCAACTTCATCCCTGGTACACATGCAGGATACCCTGCATACTAGGGTGTCCTGTGTACCAGGGTATCCTGCATATGAATATAATTAGTATAAAATATGAAAATAATCATGCCTAAACACGGGTGGTTAATGGCCAGACATTTCATTGAATTACATTTTCAGAATCGAATAATATTCTTCAGATGACGTTAGATGATAAAATGCCGATTTGAGGAAGTAATTTTAATTTAGTAACGACGTTTCGCATGTAACAACATTCATTTTCAAGTAATAGGAAGCATTAAATACAAGATTTTTGGTGAAAATAAGTACATTATACACGTAAATATGATAAAACACGAAAATTTGGAGCCATGGAAATAACTCCGAAACAATATCAAAGTTCAGAAAAAGCTGTAGATATAAGATGGATGGCTGGAGTCAAATGCGCAGAGATGAGGGCTTCAGTTATCGTCGGTCGGATGATGTCGGGCACAGCTAGATTACGATGCTGGTTGTCAAGGGTATCACGGAGCCTATTTTTTTATTGAAGATCTTGAGAAGGAGTTCATCGATTGTAGTACTTTGAGACCTGGTCTGGTTGCGAGCTTGTCTCAGATGGCAGGATAAACGGCTGCTCCATGTCGTCATAGTTACTCCATTGTAGTCCAAAAATTGAAGAAGTGCAACCTTCTCTGAAGCAAAATTTATAGATCACACTGTAAGGTTGTAAATTAAATTCTAAAAGGCCCCGATGGGAAGCACTCGACAAGAGAGACAGACCGGGCCTTAGACCAGTATTATTAGCGCATTTTCTCATTTCTGGAAAAAATGCACTACTGTGCTCGCCATGTCCGTCCGTCCGTCTGTCTGTCTGTCTGTCTGTCCGTCCGTCTGTCCATGACCTCAAGTTTTCGTCGACGAGAAAATGCGCTCTCTGTCACTCACTGCAGTGAGTACTGAGTTATTTTTTTTTATAATGCGCAAGGTGGCGGACCGACTTCTCACTCTGTGGATCAGAGAAGAGCCGCTAACTGCTATATGTGTCTAGTAATACTCGTAACAGTTCCATCGTTAGAAGCGTTAGAAGTGGCGTCTAACGTGCCAAATTGTTTCTTGTATTTCATTATCAATTAATGTAAACTTTGCCTCTTGTTCTCATTTAAAGAAATTGTTGATGTTCATTGATATTTGAAGTGCCAGCATGAGTGAAACGAACCCGATGAAGGACAGCCTTCATTACATTCACCAGATTCTTGAAGAACTCCTGCTCTTTTGAAGGGGCCGTTGCTGCGAATAGTTCGAGTTTGACGTTGCCAAGGGTGTCATGCACGGAGCCTACCAACTACCGGATTTCCTAAACTTTGAAATTGTACCAGTCATTTTCACGGTTCTAAATTTTGTGTTGGATCATTTACGTATATCATGTACTTATTTCCATCAAAATTTCTGTATTTAATGCTTCTTTTAACTTAAAAATCAATTTTGTTACATTCGAAAGTTGTAACTAAACTAAAATTACTTACTTGAACCTGAATTTTGATTATGCAACGTCATCTGAAGAATTGTTCGTCCATGAAAATGTAAATCAGTGAATTTTTTAGTCATTTACTTGACACTCTTCATGGCTTACGATACTTGACGCACAACATGGCTTACAACAAATAACGCGCAACATGGCTTACAACACATGACGCACAACTTCCAACACATGACGCACAACATGGCTTACAACACATGACGCACAAGGTGGCTTACAGCAGAAGCTTCGCAACACTTGAATAAACTAAATGACAAATTAACATAAGGGACCAAAGAATCATTAATCAGTTCATCTAATGAATTAACGAGATTCAGGTCTGATAAGTCGAGCACCAACGACCGCCTGGGAACATCTGTGTCAACGAAGCTCTTCGTCTTGTTGAGCGATGCACGTGTCGTCGCGGCAGACGCCCACGCCAGCACCAG